TATAGCATTTGTGGAAGTGTTCAAATATATCAATTATTTGCATTGCAAAAACTTGTGTTTCAACAAATTGAGACATTTTCCATATTATTTTGCGTAGAAAAATCAATATTATTGCTTTTCTAGGTTATGTGATTGATTTAAGACATATTATGGGTGTTAAATAACACTAAAAATCGTAAAATATGCTTGATTTGAGCTAGAAACATTCTGATATTTGCCATATTTACTCATTTCCACTTTTGAAAGGATTAAAATTAGCCCAAAAGCCAGATTCATAACCTTACAATTTGATTAAAATTTTTTAAAGCATTTTTCCGAAGACTTAAACAGAAAATCAAGACATAAATTTGCCATGAACAAATCCAGCAACATCGAAATCAGTTCTTACGATCTGAAATCTAAGCATTTGAAGAGCCTAAACATACTGAAAAGGCAAAACCTGGATAAGATTGTGATAAAAGTTAGAAATGTGCTTAAGAAATAATTGAAGGAGTCTGAAAAATGCATTTAAAGACGTTTAAAAGTGTTCTGATGTGTTAAATATTCTGCACAGAGATTGTGAAACTCTCAAACAAGTCGTGTACAGATTTAAGGAAAATTATCTCTCTCTTCAACAGTCATAGAGATGAAGAAAATAAACTTGGTGTAAAAGACATCATAAAGACTTAAGAATACAGCGTGAGTGTTTCGCAGTTATCAGTAAATTACTGCTCAAATCTCCAGTTTAATTCCTTCTTGATTTTCAGCGAAATTGAACTAATGTATACACAAACATACTTGCAAATCCTTAAAGCATTTAGTGTAATTGAAATTTGATTTGCTCTTCCAATGCAAATTTGTCTTCCATTTCATCTTATTGCTTCACTGAATTCTTGAACAGAAAATAATATACTTTTTCCCAATTGCATGTCTATATAATTCATTGAATGTCACGCTAGTTGTCGTGAAAGTTCTAAGCCTTTTAATATATAATTCCACACTTTATTGAATCTTCTCATTCTCTCTTCCTTAGTTTTTATGTTCTTCACGCTCTTGGGACTCTGTTCAAATTGCGCAATGTTGTGAAAATCATTAAGTTTACTCGTTATCGCGATTTTCATGTCTTCTCGTAGCATCATATTCCGCCATTCTGTTGGTATTTACAAAATCTAGAGAACATGCTTAAGGTTTGGAACACGAATCTGGTGGAAAATTAATTTTTCATTAATAAAAATATCGTCAAAATTCCTAGAATTCTTTTCTTAAAAATCACAACTCATCTGTAAGTCATGTAAATACAGCACAAACAGCATTAATTAATCATAATATTCTGTGAAAATATTTTATAGAAAAACCTTCGCAGTTTTCTCTAAAAATACTCCACATATTCATCGCGTTCAATTGTGAGTCCATGAAAAAGCTCCTCTGGCGTCTATAAAGCATCACGAGTGGGAGAAGGAATTGAAATTTTGAAAGTATTGCTTTAAATGCGACTCCTCTCGTAAATTCGATGAATTTTTACAGTCGAGAAAGCATTCATTTGTGGCGTTTATTATGTGCGCTTTCGCGAGAACATAAAATTGAATTTGGTGGTAATTTCTGTCAATGAGTGGGAAATCTTGGGAAAATCTTTGCATCATCTTTTGTGCGGATGACTGAAAACATGTGTCTCGCCGTGGAGATCCGGCACAAATTCCCCCCCTGGGCGACATGGGAATGCTAAACTCGTGCCAAACTATTAATTTAATTTAGGAGTGAAATTCCTTCGGATAAGCTGTACAAATAGGAACTCACGATGCCTCTCGCCGTCCTTAGCAAGTGAATGTGGCACAAGATAAATTTTATGTAAATATCATGGGAGCATTTTGAATGCTTTCCGCCGACGAAGACTTTGCAAAATGATATATTTCATGTGTGTTTTATACAGGAAACTTTTATGGCTACTCTCGTTAAGTATTTCCTCAAATTGTCCCAGCCAAGCTATTGTCCCCTCGTCATTCGCCACCAGGCCAGAAGACGGCCGAATGCGGGGAGAAAATTGGAGGAAAAGTGATTGGTAGAATAAATTATTGTGTGTGTGTGACGAAGAGAAAATCCCGAGGCGAGTGTCTTCCATTCTTGTGGTCATTTTGTCTTTGTCATTCAATTGTGAACGGGAATTCATTTCTGATGAATTTGGGAACTAATCCTGTGATTGACATTATTGTTCGGCCGCCTGAACCCTTTTCCCTCACTCTCTCCCTCTCTCTCTCTCTCACTCCTCTTCCTCAATGGACACCTACGCCCGTTCATCTCGCATGGGAAAGCATCGCTCGCCTCCCTCTGACACACAAGGCGAGCGGCCGAAGCTCTGCCTGGCCCTCTAACTAAATAATTGATTGAGCAGTTTCGTTTTCCGGGTATCAAGCGACTCTTGCCAACAGATTTCCTATATATTCCATTTTATTTATCTTCACGGACGAGGGGTTCAGCACAACAATATAGCACCACATATTTGTGCATGTTCACACCCGGAGATGCGGGCCGGAGACGCTTTCGAGGGCGGGAAGGGATTAACGGTTAACTTTCCACTGCAATTCATCTGATCTTCCTGGTGCGACAAAGTGTTCCCGGAACTTGGCAGGCTTTTATGCCAAAAATCAGTTCTATTTTAGGGAAATTAACGCATATGAACAACTCAAATTATTTGATTTTCATTCTGATAATTTCTGAAATGATGTAGAAAATCTAGAAATATTTTATTTAAATTCATCGGGTGAATTCTAGCTAGAAGATCACTTTTGTTTTCATAATTTGGAACAAATCTCAAGGGTTGTTCAATACAAGGGAGAGATAATATAGTCAGAAGTGATGTACAGTTTACTGAAACTTATACGGAACTGGAAGTGTCCAAAAACATACAATATTCCTTTCCTAAGTGCTTCTTTTACTCACTTTTTATCCCTGTTATTTGGATTTCTTTTGATTCTTGCATAGAAACGGTCATAATATTACTTTTTAATGCCAAAAGATACACTGCAAATTGTGTTAAGGTCAAACATAACCTCAAAAAGTGTAATTGAAACTTAAAAATTGTTGATTTTGAAAATTTTCCGCACGATTTTGACTCTGAATCAGCAATTTTAAGCTCATCGGGAAGTCATAAGTGTTGATTTTGTGGTCTTGAAATCTAAGAAATTATTACTGTACGCTTATTCAAGCTTTTTAACTCTGATTCAGGTGTGCTAATGAGGTCAGACTTAGCGCACTTCTGTGGGAGTTATTGTAATCCCGTTGAAGCCCCAATTTTTGGTCGCCTCGTCGGCTCTCACCTCATGTTCACACCCTTTGGGGATTTCCCTTGGCTCGGGCACGAGGGAGAATTTCAGCATTTGACCAATTTAACCCTTCTATTTGCTCTAATTCCTCTTTCACGTCCTTTTTCGCCCCCCAAATTGCCCATTCATATCACACAGGGCGCGCACGAGATGAGAAATGCTGGGAGTCCCCGAAAAATATGTCTCAATATTAAGAGAGGGACTCCTGTTGCAATTGCCCAACTAATATTTCATATTTTGTGCGTCGAACAATGAGGGTGGGCAGAAGGGTTGGGGGCGCAGTGACCGCACGGAGAGTGTGTGTTTCTCAAGCCGGCAATCTACCTGCGCGCGAGCCTGGGAATATTCATCTTGCCTGCGATGTGTAATTCCTGCAGAAGTCTCCTCGGAGACATGATGTATGGGGCCGAGCACCAGTTGGGCGAGGAAGAAGAAAAGAAGAAGCTGAAAGAGGTGAAATTACACAAAAATTTCACCCGAAGCCATAACACAACCAATCATAAGCACTCAAAAGTAGCAGATGACATTATTATCATTGAAAATCCGGAAGGGTTGCGAAAATAGGCACACACAGCCCAAAAATAACTTATGCTGAGCACCTCGGGCCCTTTGTCCAGCCTCACCAGAAGCCATACACACCACACATTTCACCCTCAAAATGTGCGTGGGTCACAGAAGAAATAGAGACAAATGCTTGAGGTTTTCTCTCACTGTTTCCTCTTTTATTCCCACTCTGTCGTCCTTTTTATTACCACCACTCATCCCTTTTTTATGCCTCCGCCCGCTCGATCTCGCATGCCGCACTCCTTTTTGCCCCTCTCGTGGGCGTTTTCAGGGAAGTTAATAATCATATTTCGAGATTATGCCCCATCGTTTTCCGGCAACGTCCTGGAAATCGCACCAGCAGAGAGATTTATGAGTGTGTTTTATGGGTGAAAAATTCATCATAAATTGTGACAAACTTTCGTCACTGCAACCAAGAGTCGCAATAATCCCAGAGCTTCTCTCTGTACTGAGATATTTGTCCCCGACATTGCATGAACTTTGTCAAATGCGGTGGCAACAATGGGTATGAATTTAATTACATCCAAGACACCCAACGCCAGATGAAGAACCGCAAGATGCAATATTACATTCCATACACAGGCAAAATACATAGTTTCTCAAATGCTTCTGCAAAAGGGCAACGCCGGAGTGCAGATAAACATGACTTGAAGATGGAAAAATTGCAGTTAAGCACTCACTCAGCTCAGCTTTGTGGGAAGCTGAGATTTTGAGTGTGAACATAAATGATTTGCAACTCAATTTGAAGCTCCAAATCTTCAAATCCTCATTAATAATCTTATTTTGTTGGGAATTCTGCACACGAATTTACGTCACACATTATTTTCATGTCTCTTTTTACCCATAATTAATCCTCTTCTATACTCAGTGTCTCCATTTCACGACACTGACTTTCCCAATCGATTGCAGAAAACGAAGAGTTGTGATGTGAAATCCCCCAACTCTCAACATCTTCGGGTTTGAAACTGATGGTTTCCAGCAGATGTGATTCATAAGTTTGCCAAAGCGGAAATCATGCTGCAAGTGAGGTTTTGGTTATGCATTTCATATCTCGATTTATTCAAAATATCGAGCAGATAGAAGATGTCTTGGATGTGAAACCACATCATTTTCCCAATTGAAACGCATTCCATTTCCTGGCAAAACTCTTGCTCTCTTTATTGTCTTTGTCTCTGAGGCTTATCAAAAATCCGAAACACTCTGTCTTATCTGTCTCTAAAGTCAAATCTTTCGCAACCTAAGATTAAATACATTTTCTCTCTTTCTCTCTCTGTGTCTTCAACAAAACTTTCACTCTAAAATTGACTTGAAACCTGAGGTAAAACGGTTGCATTACCACTTTGCACCAAACATTACATATCTTTTTGATTACATTTTCTCCTCCGTTCATTGCAAATTTTCCCCAAAATTGTGTTGGGAAATTTTGCCGAAGGTGATTTTTTTCCCCTTCGATTTGCAATTTATCACAACAGCCTTAACTCTCAGTGAGGTAATTCGCACGGATTCTGACTCATTTCGTACATGGCCAGTTGCTTCCTCGTGGACGCCAGCTCGAACTTCAGCTCGATGTTCTCGCGCTCCAGGAAGGCCGCCCTGATGGCAATCTCGTCCTCTTTGATGCGCCGACGGTCTCGTGACTTCTTCGCCGCGGCGTTGTTCTTCATGCGGCGCTCGAGGTAAGCCTCGTCCTTCACCATTCCCAGCACTCCACCGTCGGGCGCCTTGTGCGGGTCCTCGGGGCTCTTCTTCACGCTGTAGCGCCGCATCTTGGGGTTGGAGAGCGTCCTCTGGCCGCCGTAGGCGTCGTGCATCTGCTGCAGCATCCGCTGCCTGAACTCCGCATACTTGGCGGTGGATTGAGTGTCCAGATAGGCGTCCGTTGTCGTCACGGCGGAGGCGATGGTGAGTGGATCGCGCGGGTAGGCCTTGAAGGGACGCACGGCCTTGCGATCCCGCGGCGTCGCGGCAGCCGCAGAGTCGACGGGACAGAGAGACGGCGGGAAGGAGACCTCGATGGGCTCAGACTCGTAGGGAGAGTCCACGCTCGAGTGTCTGGATTTGTGGAATGCCGCTTTGTGTATGATGTAACCATTGCCGGACTGCTCACGTTGGGCAATCATGTCCGAAGGCTGTGCGTGATAGCTTTCCTCATCATCGGGAGTCATTGTGTCGTTGAAGAGCCTCACCTTCGGTGTAGAATAGACAAATTTCACATTGAAATATTTCTCTCATTCAAGAGGAAAATGCCCCAAAGCATAGGCGTAGTCCAGGATTTAAACGGTATAAAGTTGAAAATCACGGGGAAAATGGGATTACTTAAGCGGTTTCTTGCACAAACTAGAATTAAGTGGCATTTTGTGCCCCAATATCATGCTATCACATTAATTCTTGCGCCCGAACATCACTTTATCCTTCCACAAAGCTATAGAATCGAGTATAATATAGTGAAATTTAGTCAGTCAATTTTCACCTACGCCCTTGTCGGCAAGCATTAATAATCATTTAATTCCCAATAAAGCTCCAAATATCGCTACATCGCAATCTCTGCTCTTTTGGCAGTGCGAAAGAGTCACTTTAGCCAACTATCATCACATGCGAGCATCCTTTTCATGGGAAATGCGCTGTATGACAAACACCATGAGGGGGAGTATCAGGAAGCATTTATCCGTACCTTTGTTGGCGCTCTGTAGAGCTGCTGGTGCTCAATAGAAGAGCTCCTCTTTCGCTTCACCGCCATGAAGAACTCATCGATGATCTGCCGTCGACAATCCGGCGCTATTCCGTGCACCATTTGTGGCCCATGGGAGCTCGGCGAGGCGTCCTCGGTCGACATAATCGATTCTGTGGGCGGCGATGGGGTGTGCAGCCCAGTCTCCACCGAATTCCTCCGGCACGACAGATCCAGCACGACGGATTGCGGGGAACTATCTAAACTTTCCCTCTTCTCAAATGATCCGTACACATTCTTCTCCACTGGCGGGCGGCGCGCGGAGGTGGTCATGGAAAGAGAGGAAAGGGACGCAGTGAAGACAAATAGCACACATCTTGACGGTTGGGAAAAAGGCGCACACAGGCGAGAGAGAGGAAGTCACTCTCGGTGCTCAAGAATATTGAATGTCTCAATTTTCAATTTTCAATCAATGCCTTGACATGGAAAAAAGAGTTCACTCTTGAGGAAGCACAAGATAGCTACCTTGAGTCGACCCCTCCTCCATTCTCGAGCGACTCATGATGTCCTATTTGCCGTGATTCTGCTCCACTGCCACCCTCAGTGTCCCCAGCAAGCTCACTCTCCCGGAAAATCGGGCGCGCACACACAAACGCCGCCAAGACAGAATACACACCACGAGAGAGTCGAAGAAAATGTTCCTCTCACTCCTCAAACATTGGCGACTGTCGTTAACGTCTCAACACTTTGCACACAACTGACCACAAAGTGACCAAAAATGTTGCATTTATAGATAAATACATTGCAGAAATTTTGGTCAATGGGCGATAGACCAATATATGCACATTTCGCAACGCTTCGCAACACTCTCGTCCGCAGATTCACCCAAAACGAGCAGGACTGCCCAGATCACACTCCTGACCACACTCTCGGGGTCCCAAGGGAGTGCAAGAGTGGGAGTGGGATGGAGAAGGGACCGAAAAGGGTTGGACATTTTCGGTCTCTATTGTACAATTTCACTTGTATGCGAAAATTGGCAGTGAGAGTGCAAGAAACTCGGCAGAGTGCTTGCGTGGAGAGGGTTCAAGTATACCTGGAAGATGGCAATTTAGACTACTCAGGTAAAGAACCAAGACTTAACTTGAACGAGTTTACTTTCTCACTGATCGTTTCTTAAATACAATCCTCAATTACCTGTGAAATGTAGATTCAGTTTTACATAATCTTCCGTAATTCTACAGTGCCTAATTTACCTCATAATTTAACCATCTTGTAAGACATTCTCCTAAATTGCAAATTGCGTCGGCTTTTCATCTTGTAGACAAGAGAACAGAGACTGAATGGTTTCTGATTAATTTCACAGACTTGTGCAAATGAAAACCTGGTTTCAGACCAACAATAGACAGCTTGTCGATCCTTAAATCTGAGGCAGTTATTAACTACTTTGAAGTGTCTGTAAGTTCTTCCCATTCATCGATATGAATTGCGTGCAATTTCCTTTTTCAAACACTATTTTAAGCCTCGCCACCTCCCAAGTAAAGGAAGACTTTTTGGCAGAAGTTTAAGGTTCGAAGATGGAAATTAGAGTGTTAAAAAGATCTTGTAGGGAGAACACTTAGAGAGAAAAAATCTGAGTATCAGACTTTTAGGGATAATTCTTAAGAATGAAACTTAAATTGATGTGTTTGAAAGAGTTTAAGATGTGAGGCAATAAATGAGACAAGAAATACGCGAAAAAATAAGGAGAAGGACTGAAAAAAGATTCAATTTTCGCTGTCCTTTAAAGCATATTGCTCTGAATGATGCGACATTTTTTGCTATTGCATATCTGTTCAATTCTCTGAGCGTTATTTCATCAAATCCACCTTCCAAATCCAGATGAACAGTCATTTTTCTCTCTTGCCACAGGCAAAAGTGAGTGAGCTCAGAAAACGGTGCTCACATTCTTACCCTTTTTGAAAACATACCCAAAAGACGAGATGATCTTTCCACAGTGTGTTTGCAGATGCACTTTGGCACCAGAGCCACATAACAGTACATCCAGGCCCATTAAAGACCCATTGGCCCATGAGAAAATCATAGGAGACACCGAGAGTCGTGTAATCGCCTCACGCGGGGAAACCCTGTGTCGTCTTTCACGGCAAGTCAGCGGCCAGTGTGGAAAACCATTAGCCAGGGAGAATTTGCATTTTCCCACCCCTTCCGCGTGTCCCCAAGAGGGACTTGACACCCTCTCCATTAGTGTGGAATTAAAAAGTCATTACAGAATTCCACAATGCAGAGCGAATTCTGGGGCGTGCAATGAATTTCCACACAGTCAAGAGCCATGTTTGCTGTGCGGCGCGGCAAGTTTGGCGCCATCGACTTTCCCGCTCGAAAGTATAATCTCCGAAATAAGCGCCTCTCGCATGCCAGAAGTGCTGGCTGTGCGCTCGTGTGGAATTTGCACCGAGCGTAGTGGCCGTGGCGATAAACCTTGTTTAGTCAATCACGAGCTCTCGAGAGGAGAAGTACACAAACAATGGGCGACAGCGACAAAGTCACGACGGTAGAGTTTAAGACTCTGAGTAAGGCACAAAATTTGAATGGCACTCACCCCACCCAACGGCTGATCCACGTCCCTTTTCGCGCCACTTGCAGGCCCGGCCAATCAGGAGCTCATCGAGGCGGCAATCGAGGTGAGGAAGAAGGCCTACTGTCCGTACAGCAAGTTCGCGGTGGGAGCGGCAATTCGGACGCCCTGCGGGCGCATCTTCACTGGCTGCAACATCGAGACCAGCACCTACACGCCGTGCATCTGCGCCGAGCGCACCGCCGCGGCCAAAGCCATCAGCGAGGGCTTCCGCGAGTTCAGTGCAGTGGCCGTGGTGGGTCAGCAGGAGAAGTCCTTCACGACACCCTGTGGCGTGTGTCGTGAATTCTTATCGGAGTTCGCCGATAAAGACATCACAATCTACGTAGCCAAACCGGCTGCCGTCAATGTGATGGTCACGTCGCTCTTCCAGCTGCTGCCCCATCGCTTCCAGTGGTCCTAGTGCACCTGCAATGGGCACACGTTAGCACAGAGCCTATTCCAAAGAGTTGTTCTTTTCCTACCTGCTGACGAATGGATTTTTTATGAAATAAAAAATCACTGTTGCGATCAAGATTTCTTTGGAATTCACCCACAAACTGCACTTTGGCGGATCACAATCTTGGGGGAAAATCAAGAGGTGAGATCGATAAGATTTCCGTTTGATGGGGGAAAGAGACTTTTAACGCTCTTATCAGTGTTTTCGGGCACGAAACACTTTACGATTTCTCGAATTATTGCTCTTATCACTCTGGGAAAAGCGATTACAAACATTGCATACACATAATGCCACTGCTAAATGCTCCCACAGCCATAATTCAAAGTCGTTCATCTCATGGTGAGTCAATAAACATGAAAGTTTGTGATCTTGAGGGAATTATTAAGAAATATGTTCTCTAAATAATGACATCAGAGCCAATGCACTTTTCAAAGAAATCACTTGCATATTATCTACTCAATAATCTTTATTTACGAAAAAGGTCTCTTATCATAAATCTCCTCACAACAAATCTAGCACAAAATAAGGTAAAAAGATGCTCACGTGATTTGCCTTTGGGCGCATTTGCAGCGTGGAAGCTTCGTGGTGGCAAAGAAGTGTGAATAAAATCTACCAGAATGGACACCATCCGATGTAGCATTGACAGAGGTTCTCGTTATTTGTCGCCTGTTGAATCAGCAAATCCACTTGCTTCTGCACACTAATCGCATCCTGATTGGGAAAGTCATTTCCAGTGAGTTTCTGCTTCACACGATCAACAATCATGCGAGCCTTCTTGTTTGTCGCCTCTGTCGGCGGCGGCAGACACGCTCCATTCGCCTCATTGCCCGTCGACTCCACCTGTCCCACCTTCGCCGCCTTGGCATTCTGATTCCCAATGCTCAGCAGATCAATCGTGTCATCAGCACTGCCACCCAAACTGTCCATTGCGCCGCCAGTGACATCAATTGCCGTCTTCGAGCGCCTCCCCTTGTCAATCTTCGTGTCCAACAGACGCCAATTGAGCAGCGGATCATACACAAAAGCCTCCAACACCGCCATCAGACTGTCCTTATTCTTCCTCAGCACCGTCATCACACTCTCGCACGTCCGTCTGTACGTTCCCTCAATTCCCGTCACTTCCATCGCATTGATCAGCATCCGCGTGAGCCGGAAGGGAATCTTCTCTGGGAATTTCTCCCTCGTCATCGCCACTTCGAAGCAATCGCCAAAGTCAATGTGCAAAATCTTCCCACTCAGCCGGTCCAGCATCAAATTCGACGGATGTCGATCGCCCAGGCCCAGAATGTAGCCCACCATCGACATCACAGCCAACGATCTCGTGTAGTTTGTCCTCCTGTCGAACCACACCTCCGACGACGGACTCTTCAGCCACAGCAATCGCGCCAAATCATCCCCATCCGAGTCCTCCAGCGCATACTCAAACACCTCCACCTTCTGCATCAGCATCAAGTGATCATAATCCGGCGCCATTCGCAGCATTGTGCGGTGCTCAATGTTCAGCAACTTCTTCTGCTTCTCCCGATAGTCCCGGATCAGAGTGTGAAGCGTATCGCAGTGTGGCACCCATCCAATCAGCCCAGAGTTCGTGCTCAGCGGAATCACCGCGTAGCGCTGAATGGTCAAATTGCGCCTGAAGGTGTCCGGATCATTTAGCAGAAGAGTATTCACCAGTCCGAACAGCTGCATCACCCTCTCATCCTGTCGCAAGTCCTCGTGTCCCTTCAGCAGAAACATGTAATCCTTGCCATTTGAGCCGCGAATGCACAATTTTCTGGGTCGCTGCTTCGATGTGATTACCTAAAAAAAAACACATGAAATGCAAAATTAGCTCACAAAAAAAAACACACATTCTCGATAAGAAAATGTCATAAATCCCGACTTAATAAGTTCTTGGAATTTGATTAATGCAATCTCAGTAATTAATGACCAGAGAATTATCGTAAATTTTCCCCTTTTTTCCACATTACGCACAATCGAGTCAAAACTTTAGGGAAATCACCGATGAAAACAGTCTACGTGACAAAAATATATTTAACAAAATCATCCGATTTTCTTCTCTCTTATCAATATTGATAAATTTCAGGTGGACAGTTTTATAATTTTTTTTTCTTTTTCTCATCTAAACCTTATCCAAATTGTCAACACATAAAGATGGCGCCTAATTGATCAATATCACTCAAGAGGTGGATAAAATGCCCAAAAAACTTGTCTATGTTTGTCAAATGAAATCAATAAGAAATCATTCAGACTTTCTAAATAAATATTTGAACAAAGATAAGTACTTTGCACACATTATTACAAGTGACACTCGAAATTATGATTATATGCTCATTGACTCACCTGCAAATTGATCTGGAACTGCGAAATACGAATCAACTCCTGTCCTGGACTGTAGCTTCCCGGCACGGCGAGCTCCAAATCCTTGCACGCCAGCAACTTTGGGCTGACATACTGAAGCTCCAGCGATGTCAGCTGCGGCAATTGCCGCGAGATTCGCCTGAAGACGTGATAGTAGAGATCCCACGCCTGATTCAAGTCCCTTATATTGCCAGACATCTTGTAGTGCTGACACCACTCCAGAGCTTCCGTCAGATCGCGTCCGTACGCCTGGTTGAATGACGTCTCCTTGAGTGTCTGCGGGCCGCGCTCCAGCATCGCGTGCAGCGGCTCCAGCGTGTCAAACATACCCTTAATGTTACGCTCCCCAAAGTACAACCTTGACGCCTCCTCCAGACCCTCGTGCCACTGCTCATGCCACAGAATGGCCACCCTGATCAGCTCATCGCTGCACATCATCGCCTGCTCCACCAGTGTGGGCGAGTGCTCGCAGAGTGACTGCAGGATCTTGTGCGCGGCCTTCTTGCGCGCCACCGAGGCAGATTTGGAGGCCACTGTCAAGGGATAAACCAGCGCCTGAGGATGGCTCTTGCCGATGTCGATTAGCAATTGGTGAATCAGCTGTCCCACGAGATTTCTATTCGTGTCAATGCGCGCAATCAGCTGCGGAATCACTTGCAGCCACGTGTTGATCTCAATGATCCTCATGCCCTCCACCAGAGCCTCGAAAACCTCCGCATACTGACCGTAGTCAAACCAGAGGGTCAGCAGACGCAGTGTGTCCTGCAAGGAGTTGCCCTGCGACAGATTGATGGACTGGAAGAAGCCCGCCACTGCGGGCACGGCGTACTGATCGATGATCTGCTTCTCCTTCTGAATCCTCGCCATGTCATTGGTTTGACTGTCCAACTGATGCTTCTGCGATTGAATCACCTGCAAAAATATCCAACATCAGTGTAAATTCAAATAAACACTAAATTATTACATTCTCCTCACCTTGAAGTTCATGTAGGCCCACGAATGCCAAGCCTTGTACCAACTCGGATCATGCTTGGTCGCCTGCTCGTACGATGAGAGGATTCCCTTCACCGAAGCATCCGTAATGCCCTCAATTGTATTCTGCCACAGCCCGAGACGCATATAGCATCTGGCCAGGAGTCTTCTGTTGTCCTCCGGCACTTCCTCACCATTGGCACAGTTGTTCTGCACACTGTACGTATTGACGAACCACTTGAGCTGCTCATAGGCCTTGTCCTTCCTGTCCATCATCCACATATGCTTGATGTAGGCGAATGTCACGTGAGGTTGATTGATCGGCAGCGGAGCGTCTGGATTCTCATTGGGATCCGTGTGGAGAAGCATGACTAGAGTCTTCTCTGACAGCTTCAAAGAGCTACTCTTCCTGCACAGCGACGCATATTTCAGCCACGTGTGCACATCCTCCTGCGGACTAACCACCAGAGAGTGCACTTGTATAATCCTCTGCCAATCCTCCACGAGTCTCTGACCACCCTGAAGCCTCTTCCACCACATCTCCTTGATGGTCTGCCTCCGCTCCGGCACAAGTTTATACTGAATCACTTCCTCCAGCTCTGCAAGCATCTGAACACACACCATCGCACCATAGGCACGCTCATACGACTCTCCAGCCATCGCCGTGAGTTCCGTGTCCAGGAGATCGCGAGTCTGATCGATCAGTCGCTGGGCATTCTCGTAGTTCTCATAGTGCACAGACAGGACGGCACGATAGAAAGCCCCATCTTGCGTGTCCTCGGGAATACAGCTCACGTACTCGTGCATCCTCTCCCAATCCTGCAATCCCCACGTTGCCACAGCGGCCAGTCGACCAGCTCGACTCTGTCCCTCCTCGCCCAAGGTCTCCCACTTGTCGTTCACCACCTTTCCCAGCTCCTCCCACTCGCCCATCGCCTCCAGGCAGCGCATCTCACCCAGTATCAAATCCGCATGATCCGGTGTCGTCTTCAACTCTTTGCGATACGCATCCAGCGCCTTATCCCAGCTATGGAGCTTCTCCAGCCATCGCACCTGGATCTTTATGTCCTCACCAGCATGGGAATTTGCCGTGACAAACTCCAGCAATCCCTCAGCCGCTTCCTTCTGCTGCAACTTGTTGTTGATGTGAATCAGTGACTCGTAGACTTGATGATTCTTGTTGCTGTGAAACTCTCGCTCTTTGTAATGCAGCGCCTTGGCGTACGCTCGACACTCCATCGCTCTCTCGCCGAGCAGACGAGGATCAATGGGGAAATGCTCCTTGTCGCAGTGCTCCATGAACTCAGCCAAATTGAGAATGGTTTGCGTGATCTCCGGCAGATCGGGCACCATCAAGGCACGCTGTAGACTCTCAGCCAGTGCCTTCTTCTTGTCATCATTCAACTCCGTCCAGCACGAGACAAAGGCCGCATTGAACAGATCCCTCAGCAATTGATTGTAGTTGTGTGCAAGAGTTCGACACGATCTCAGCGCAGGACTCTGGGATTCCTTCAGCAAACCAATGCTCAGCTGTCTCAGCCACTCAAGCCAATCGTCTTTGGACACTCGTCGCGCCGCCTGCCACGCCACTTCCAATCCCGACGCCTGCACGTGGAGCTTCTTGATGGTATTCGTGTCACTGCAGCTCAGGGTGACTTCGCGATTCTTGAATCTCGCCTGTCTCAGCCGGAACTCATCGTCCAGACACACTGTCGTGTTGCTCTGAATCTTTGGAATGAGCTTGTCATACTCCACACACAGAATCTGATGCTTCACCATCACACGATGAACAAGCGGCACGAAGACCAGATACTTCTTCCCCAGCTGAATAACAAGAGCGCACAGAGCTTGCATCGCTGCCGGCCGGAGGTCAGGACTGGAGTCGAGAGTGCGCACCAGGGCGTGAATGATGCGTGACGAGAAGCCCGTGAAGTCCAAAATGCCCGCCAGATAGTTGATGGTCTCCAGGGCGACCACACACACACTCTGCGGAGTGTCCTGAGGATCGAACAGCTTCACAATAGGCGGAATTATCAGGTGAAGATAGTCATCGAGGTTATTGCCGAACTTCTGCAGCGCCTGCATCAACTTCACCGTCACAATCCTGTCTTTGGAAGTGTCATGGGAAAACACTCTGAGGATTTGTGGCATGAGCTGGGACAGGTAGACCTTGAATTCACACCCCAAAGCGATGGCAATCTTCTCCACCAGATTGATCAATGTCGCCTGGAGTGGTGTATTGATTGTCCAGAACTCCTTTATCAACTTGAAGATGTCCTCCATGTAGCTGATGATGTGCTGCTTCACAATCTCAATGAGTATGGACAGTTGCTGGAACAGGAACTCCTTCAGATTCATATCCGCCGTCCGGACATTACCCAGCAAACTGGGCAGAACTTGCGATAGATACGGGACACACTTGATGCCCAAACTCTTGAAGATGAACGTGACAGCCTGTACGACGCTCGTGTGATGCTGCGCCAACGTGGGATCCCTGAGGATCCTCATGAGCGTGGCAATCGCCACGGCCGGATAGTATTCATCCAGTTGATTGCCCATATTCACCAGCATCTCCGCCGTGGAGAGATCCGTGTGCTCATCGGACTTCAGGTCCGACACGGAAATCAATATGTTGTCCTGCTGCCCATCAATCAGGCCCTTATTCATCTTATGCTTGTACGGATCCAGCGCACCCAGAAGTCCCAGCACCTTAATCGTCTCCCGTCGTATCGACGGCTGCTGTTCTGTCTTCAGGAAGTTTATCAGGATATCAATGAGGAAGGGATACTTGTAGTACGGCGTCACCACACGTCCAGTGGCGCCAACCAATTGCCCAAGCGTCCACAGAGCCACACCCCTCTTGTCCGGTGATCCCGAATCACTCAGCAAGTCCAGCAGAATCGTCAGCAGCTCATCGGCCCACTTCTCCATCTCGCAGCTGCCGCCATTCACCTCCGCCAGGTCCCCAATCGCCCTCAGGACGTTCAGCACCACGCCCGGATTCGAATCTGGCTCCTTCAGCTTCGGCACGAGGATGCCCAGAATGGGTCTCATGTAGGCCGAGATGATTTTCGGCGTGTTGACAATCAAGTGGTCCAACATTCGGGCGCTCTGCTCCTTATTCCTGCTCATTCCCGAGTGCTCCAGCTCCGTCAGCAGCTGAACCAGAGTCTTCCTCAAGCTCGGCATCACGTAAGCCGGATTCATGGCCGACAGACGACCAATTGTGATGATCGCAAGTTCCCTAATCTCAAACACCTCATCGTTCAGTGTGATCAGAAGGGCACTCAGTGACTCTGGCAGCGCCAATTGCGAGTCGAATGTGTCATCCAGACACCTGAGCACCCTCAGCCGCACATTCGGATCCACATCTGTGATGCCCACCACCAGCAGCTTGTCCAGCACATTGGCCACAGTCTGCTTCAGCGTCTCACACACGCTATTCGTGTCCGTGGACTGAATCGCCACCTTCAGCAGGCGACTGCACGTCTGCACCGCTTCCAGCCGGATCTCCTGCTGATCGTGGCACAGAAAGTGATCGGCACAGCGCTGTACAAACTCCAGCAATCGATGCTCCTCGAAGTCAAATGTCCCCAGCGTCTTCAGCGCCAGCACAATTGTGGCCGAGTCCGGCGCTGGTGCATCCGGAGTGACGGTGAGAGAAGCAAACTGTGCCGCAATGTTATGCTTGGGCGTGCCCCAAGTGGCTGTCTGGTGGCTCTTCTTGTTCATCAACACCTGCGACAGCATCCTCAGCAGACCCTCCGTGATCTCCGGCTTCAGCTGTGGCACATCCTCTGCCAGTTCCCTCAGGCAAATCGTCAAGCCCGGACTCAAGCCCGTGGCGAACATCGAGTCCAGCATCTCCTTCACATCCTGCGTAATTGTACCCTTGACGGCATGTCCCAGCATTGTGATGCACACAAACACGGCCGAATCGAAGGAGATCTTCTTCTTGCTGGTCACTTCTTTGGCCACCGGCAGTGCCACCTTCACGATCTTCATGATGCGCGGCAGGAACTTCTCAATGTCCTTCTCTACAGCCACAGAAATTGATCCCAGTGTTGTATACGCTATGCTCGACGCCTTTTCCTTGTTCCTGATGATATTCAGCAGATAGATTATCGTGTCATTCAGGTAGTTTTGCACGAAAATCTCCCGATTGAAGGCAGCCAAGCGAGGCAAGATGGACAAAAGTATCTGCTGCACGTGGAAAGATCGTGAAATCCTCTGTTCCATCACTTTCATACAAATCTCCTGGAAATTCTCCATCACCAACTGTCGACAGACAAGCGATTCCTGCACATTTCCCATCACCTTCGAGTTGCAGTCCAACTCGAAAGAGTACGTATACCAACTTGTCTGCGGTGAATTGTGCCACTTGTCAATGAAGGGCGCCTTGAAACGTGGGAAAATGTGTGAATAGTCCTCAGAAATGCTCCTCTTGCGCTCTGAAAAAATGCACAAGAAGCACATCAAGGCCAAGATCTAGAGACACTCTCGATAAACTCACCTGGTTGAAGACACTTGAGTGAGTTGTATTTGCGCTCCCACGTCGAATTGGAGCATCTCATCACTTCATTGAGAACAATCAGGGCTCCGTGCACTCTGTCGTCCTTCGTCACGCCCTTCTCCTTCAGCGGAACCTCTCCGAAGCACACCAGGGACTCATCATAGCACGTTCTATACCTTTAACACGATGGAAAACAGATTAAAACTCATATATTGTGGAACAAATCCAACAGATTTCTCACCATTGAGGCTTATTGTTGACATTCTCACGCTGACAAGTCACAATCAGTGTTGCCCTGAGCGCTTGTCCGGCTCCCTCTCGAATGATTGGCTTCGGATCCCGAATGGCGTTGAAGATGTGATCGAAAAAGGGTCCGACCTGCTGATAAAAGTACGTCGGCATGGCCACAGCCAATTCCCTCAGCACAATCACCGCCGCATGACGCTTCCCCTCATTCCTGTCCTCGGCCAGCCACTCGAAAGCCCTCTTGATGTCAAACTCAAACGACTCCGCGCCCTTCGATCCGGGCAGCAGAGCCAGCTTCACCAGCGTCTTGGCGGCAATCTCCATCACTGACACATCGCTCGAGGGCAGCAAGTTCCTCAGGTTGTTCGAGTACCGAGAGATTCTCGTTGTCGTGTTGACCACATCGCCACTGATGAGGCACTTGATGGCCAGAACGCCGCCCTTCTTCTCATTCAAGTCCGCACTGGAGACCATGTCAAAGATGTGGTGGTTGAACTCGTCGAAGAACTGATTCGGCTCATCTTGAGGCAACTCCCTGAGTTCCGTCTTCACGAACAGCAGCAAATCCTGGGCAGCTTTGTTCTGCACATCGCGATTCCGGGACTTGAGTCCCGTGACAAATTGCTGAACTGTGTGGGACATTGTTTCGCACAGATTTCTGCCCTGGGGAGACGCGATAAGGAGTTCCAGGTGTGAAAAGTGCTCTGCTTTCCGCAGAAGACAGGTCAAAGAGTGTGGTTAGGAAATTTTCCATACAATAAAGCAGAATTTCACGCTGAAAAACACTTACTTCAGACAAAATTACACACGCAAAGTGCTCCCCAGAGGCCAAGGAAGCATCTTCAGTGGTTTACTGACGGAGAAAAGGCGTATTTTGCGAGATTTTGAGGAAAAATGCAGCACCAAAACAATTTGTGAAAATCAGACGACAAAACACTCACAGTATCTGACAGCATTCATCGAAAGTCACCGTTAGCGCGCCAAAAACAACTCATCGATTCTGCACAGTGGGAAAATTCAAAGACAACCGCCAGGAAAGTGCGACTTCCATTGCGCAAGGAGTGCGGAAAATTGCATTGAAACAAGTACTTTGTAATCCCTCAGTGTGTCATTTTATTATCAATTAATCAATGAAAAGATTTTCTTGCCGCTGGCAAGTGTTTTCGCCGATAGAGTTCGATAAGAGGGTGTTGGAAATCGGAGTTGCTCTCTTATCATATTGATTCTGCAAGGTATTATCCCATTAGTCACTCCTAAGGCCACCATATTTGTACGGATTGAGCTGTCCTCGCTCCCTGGGTGAATCATTTACCACAACTCCTGGTCGCAGCGTCCTTCCCAGCGGATGCTGAGGTTGAGGCTGCGTCCTTTGGCCGTCTTGGCGGCGCAATCGAATTCGCACTTGTTGCTGTACGTGATGTCGTCCGTGCCGCACACGGGCAGGTAGATCCTAGGGCAGGGGCAGGTGGCCTCCGCCTGAGTGATGTAGAAAGTGCACACGAGTGCGAAAGATGCAATAAACCACGCGATCTTCATTGTTTTGCTGGCGAAATTCACTTTCTCGCTCTGGAGTTTTCTCTGGGCGTCACTCACAATGTGGTTCTCCGATGGCTCAGAGTCTCACCTTTTATACCCCGCGCAGAACCAACTTCTATGCTTCAATCTGGGGAAAGATAACGCCAACACAGGCATAGTTCCTGATAAGGGAATCAATGTTAGATATCATTCACTCACATTGTTGACCGAGTACTTTTCCCACGACTCCGGCGCGATGTCCTCTGCAGTGCAAGAATAAGAAGGTGTTTTTTTCACACTTGAGCCTCACCATCAAGCACTGAACGCTCCGAAGGACTAGCAGAGGTTACCGATCAGCGGAGAAGCAAACAGACGTCTAACGATGAAGATGCACTTGCATTCTCACCGACGAAGGTGGCTTTTCACTCTCCAGCCCATTAATTGCGTGGGGATCGCGAGTACACCTCAAAGTCTAAGGTTTTTCTCTCTCACGATCAATCGCTCGAGGCAATCGCGCGCATTTTAATCATCCAGAAAAGCCACGTCAGGGGTTTCCATGACGCTTCTCATGAATGGGAGGTAATTATCCACAGTTAGACTTCCTCTCCCTATCATTAAGACTTGTAGCTCAGCCCAGTTGATGATTGTATCAAACGCGTGGGGGATTAGAAGGAATTCTTGCACAGAGGTTTGTTTCCTTATCAGCTCAATGATGAAATATTTTGTGTTTGGGAAGCAATGAACTTGAACCATGAAATCTTCTTGCTCTCGTTCATTCTTTCCTCTTTGATCATAAACACTTATTTCTGAGTAAACGAAAGATAAAAAAAGATGGAGAATATCGGTGGGCGGAGCTTTCGAAGGGGCGTGTTTTGTTTTCTCATGAATTTCCTAATAATAATTCCATAAAAACTAAGCTTCAAACTGAGAAAAAAAAACAGTGCCAAAATTGAATAAAAGTCAAATACTAACAACAAATATGCAATTTCAGGTTTTTTAGAGACAATTTTAATAGTTTTGACCTTTGTTTAGTTTTTATTTATTATTTATTAAACCAGCAACAGGTGCTTTTCCCATATCGCACCTATTTACGACTAATTTCAATAAAGCGGGAAGATTAACTTTATATGTAAATATAATTATATTTCCATAGAGTGAAAGAGAACTTCTTTCAGTTTAATTGCGTCTGTTTCGCGTTCAATATCACAGTCGTATTCAGATTTAAATTTTCCAGCTTTGATCATGAAAACATCTCTAATATTCTCTCATTTCTGTGCGCATTCCTAAACTGCTGTGCCCCTCAGCCAGAGCCCCATCGATCCGGTGTCGCTCCAATTGCCTTATCACAATGCACTCAGCGCGACTCCAAAGAGCGCCAGAGAGAGAGCGCCGGAGAGCCTGGAGGGGAAGTCGAGAGAGTGTCTTCCCCCACGCTCTGCCTTTTCCACAGCCGTTCACTCGAATCATGGCGAGTCGCTGGCTCTCGACTCATTCCTCATCAGAGTGTCTCCCAGACGAAGCAATGTGTGGGATTATCAGCAAATTGCTCCAACTGTAGAAACCAACTCTTTGCGGTGTTTGTTTTCTGGGCAAAACCCTCGTGACGTTCGCAGAGTGTGTCTGGCAAAAACGTGTTTTGTGACTCGAAAAAGAAAAGTCCTTGGTGGGAAAATGTCAGCCGACGCCGAGCTCAGTTCCATCCTCAACAGGAGACAACAGATAAACGATGCCCTGGAGAATGGCGAGAACGTTGAGAACACGTTCAGGAATGTGAAGAGGAATGTGTATCAGGAGTTCCACGAGTTCTCCAGGAAGCAGATAAAGGAGTACCAGGCCACATTTAACAGGTGAGCTCTTCTACGCAGTTAGGGGCAGTCCAGGAGGGTGGCAGTGACCTCGACAAGGGCAAAAGCGTTGGGATATCACCCACATTGATTTCCTAGCCTCTGTCGCCTCGTCCTCTGGCCAGAATGCGGTCTGCCGGGCTGAATTTGAGCAATAAGGTCACTCATGCTTTATTGATTTCCCCCCTTTCGCAGTGTGTGTGTGTCTGTGCGCTGAATTCAATTAACAAACAGTTCGATGGAGAGTAGAATTTAAAAAATTAGAATTTAACGCGACATGGAAATTCATTGAGAAATTAATTTGTTATGCAAGAATAGAGACAATAAGAAATTATCGGAATGGCATAAATATCGCTCGCGAGATATTACAGAACCAATAGTGGAAAAGTTACTCAAGTGCTTGTGAGCCAAGCAGAAAAAAAAATATGTTGCGAGAAAACCAAACGAATAATACGCAAAACATTGCTTTCGTGATGGAATTTTCATATAAGAAGAAGAAAAAAAAACTGTGTACGTAAAATAATGAATAAATATATAATTTGCTCCAGATACAGAACCACATGCGCTACAATTTCCACTTTCATTGAATCACTTGACTGATAAAATGCCTGATTACATTGTTAACAGCAATGGATATTTTAATGTTGGCGTGTTTTTGCTTCTCACGGTGAAATTCGCATGTATTTTTGGCGCTACCAAGTGGAGTCTTGCGGGGTTAGTAGGATAAAATACTCACTCTCACGAGAGGCAAGATTGGCACGCACCTGAGCAATATTTTTCCTTTCCATTTCACTGAGCAGTTAAATGATATACAAATTGTATTTTCATTTCATGCCATAATTCTAATATCTATCATTCCTCGTGCTCTGCACACTGTTTTGTACTCGCTGTGAATGAGCGAGAATTTGCAAGGGGTGCTTCAGTGAGCAGATGAGTGCCCTGGAAGAAGTTTCAAGGAACAGGAAGTGTGAAATAGTCTAAATTGAATATTCCAATGACAAGCAAAGAGAATACATATTAAATGGGCGGGGTTTGGTAGTGGGCGGAGCTTAGAAAAGTCTTCCTTTGCCACAATGTCAACTAAAAGCTGCGTTTTGGGTTTCATAAATCAGTGTGACAATCAAAAAATCACACATATTTTCAGTACTTACTTTCTCCATGACATTTCTGTGACATTTTTCATTCGAAATAATTCAGAAACCGTAACATATAATGTAATGTATGGGAAACCCTGCAATTTTCATGCTATGCAATTACCTCACTTTTAGACCACTCTATCGTGCAAATCTCACTTTTGGAGCACAATATTTCAGCAAAACAACCAGGAAAATTAATAGCATTACAGAAGAGCAAATTGACGGGCTATTAATGGAGATGAAAGGCAAATCAGCGTCATGTGAAATCCCAATGTGATTGCCGCAGACAATAAATATCAATTTACAAATTGAGTGGTATCATGAGAATTGCTAAATAAGACACGCAAGAGGGGAGAATCTGCAATGTATATTCACGATGCCCAGTGGCAACGGCAAATGGAACACTTCCCCTCTTTGTTTTGATTCATAAACTCCACTTCCTCTCTATGGTGAAAAATTTATTACGAATTAATGAAAAAACGCACAGAAACTGAAAGTTGTGACTCATTTTCTCACTCTTCAAATAATAACACAATTCTGCTCGTTTGCAGTTAATCACATCATTATTATATTGTTTGATATTGAAGAGAGAGAAAGAGATTCATCTTTTATGCGCCCCACCGGGTTTTCTGGGTGGAAGTTTCTCATCATACAAACTCCACACGCTGGCGGGAATATTAAACAACACACCGCGCTGAGTCTTAGAGAGGATAAATAAGCGAATCTTGCACTATAAATAGTTGCGTGATTATTGAAAAGGGCAGAGCCAGAGGGGCTCTGCAATGCCCAAGATCAATGCCCTCCCACGATGCTGCGATCACTAAATTTGTCTTGCGCGATAAGACGTGTCAACATCTCGACAATGGCTTCAATTGTACAAGTTGTGCCGCACATGATGAACTTTAAGCGCATGTGAATGCGTTATTTGTCATCGCTGAATCATACTTTTATCTCACAACACCATCAGCTTGGAAGAGAGGCTCATTCACCAAGGCAGACAATTTAATCTTGCGGGTTGCTTCCTCTCTTTCGCCACCCAGCCAGAGAGTCAAGCCACAAAGCCAGATTGATATTGTGATGAAACTAGACTTGATAATGATCCATCTGGGGCGTTTTTGCCGCCAACTCTTGCATTGCGTGGAGGAAATTGAGTGCAAATGGCTCTCTTGCTATTGTGCGGGTTTCAAGTAACACCGCCACTTGTATTATTCCCCCCTTTATTGTTCACAATTCCACTGGAAAGGGTTAAAAATATCTTGTGTGGTTTGTCGAAATATTTCACGAAATATTTCCCTCTGATGCCAATTTGTGAACTTGAAGTCCGACTAATTAGTTTCCTAATTGAAGTTCAGGTCGTGCTCCTTCAATGACTCCATGTTTATCTCTTTCGTGTGATAATGTGACCTGCAGACAAGCATAAACTCATAAATTTCAAGAGAAAAAAATGATAAACAGCAGAAATAAACCTTGCAATATAGATTTTACATGCAAAACACTTCGACACAGAGATCATTCTGCAGAAGAAACCTTACGAAACAGTGCATCAAAGGGCGTGTCATCGAGCTCTGAGAATGCTGAAAGAAATTTATATTTAATAATGTGAAACATTTGAAAGAAAACATGCAAATTCACTGGAATTGGCGACACTTACGTGTCCACGGTAATAATTAAAATGTGAGCCAGAAGGTGTATATCAAAGCTGTGGTCACGTTGTGAGTCATACACCTGCGCCTTCATTGTGCCATTCAGGCATTATTCACTGGCGCTGCAACAACAACAACTTTCCGCATTTAAATTCGACACCATCCAAAGGCAAATTGTCACGATCTCATGGCTGAAAAGTGCTCTCGAATCACCCATTCCAATTGATAGCAATTATTTGGGTTAATGGCATATTGTGAATCTACGTCGTCGCATTTCCCGCATTTTATGACGAATTTCTCAATGTTAGATTTATTTGCTTGGCTCGTTGGCAAAGTGAATGGCCATGTTTTTTGGGCATGAGCACAAAAAAAGGCCGAAAGACATGTGCTTGAGTGAGAAAGCTCTCTCTCTCTCTCTGCCTCCTTCCAGGTGAAAGATATAAATAATTGCACTATTTCGGGTGACTTTTGCCACCCGGAGAGATTGTGAAGGAGATTTTGAAGATGGAACGCACGATCTCAAATTACCCGTGAAGTGCGTGGACTCTCACAGGAATGGGTCAATGCACGGCATTATTTGCTCTTCGTCCGATGGCGTAAACACAAATATTGTACATTTATTACAAAATTATGGCTCTGGAAGACGCAGGAGGGGACTTGCATTCGCCCTACTTTAAATATTTAACTCACACTCCACGGAATGCTGACCGTGTGGTGTGTCAATGAACCAGAAAACGATAGTTTCGTATAGAGTTGCTGCAATTTCAAAAATGTTCCCATTGTTTGGGCGTGAATGCATCGAGAAATATTCCCATAATGCACTTATTTTGACGACGACAGTGAGAAAAAAAGGAAAAACATCAATTGAAATTGAAGGCAAAACTTGATAGAGTTTTATGTTGCGATAAAATGTCAATTTTTCCTTATTGAGCGACAGTAATTGGAAAATGCCCACAATCAATCGATATGGAGCTGCGCGGGGGCCTCGATGGATCACTCACTGTGCATTTCTTCGTAATCTTCGGGAGACCACATGCCACGGAGATATTACTAAATTAGAGCAAAGTGTGAGATGAATGATGAATGAGCCCAGAAATAGACTTGCTTGATGCCTCTTGAGGTGCATTTCCAAAAACTTTCGCTAGCCAAATTATCACATCTCTTTCACCGAGAATTAGGTGTGCTCACAGAGTTATTTTGCTCGTAGTATTGGATTTTAAAACACCGTGATGACTAGTTTTCCACTTCCCAATTTCAGTCTCAATATTTAAAGATCTGACAATCTTGCTTCTGGTTGACATTCTTATGAGTCGTCAGATAAATATGTAGAGCTTCCAGTGCATCCAGCTAATCAATCATAACAGTTCGTAATACCTCAAGAGCCATATTTTTGGGATTTTAACATGGAAAACAGTCATAAGTATGCAATTTTACGTAATTTGAGTGAAGAAATCGTTACATTGCTGACCAAACACATTGTAAAGATAATCTAAAATGGCATCTCCGATTATTTTTCATGGCACATTACGAAAATTTAACATTTCATAGATCAAAATCATGCAGGAAACATGTTGGTCTGCAATAATTAATTAATAATAACTATGTTATGAGCGGAATTGCCCCGCTTTTCCCTTTTCTGACCACAATGCACATTACAGTACGGTTAAGTGTCAATTATTGCTTGAATCATCTTCAAAATAATCACAATTTCTCAGAAGATAACGCATATTTGGAGTGTAAATATCAGTCTTATCAACATTTGTTGCTCTCCCACGGATTTCCGTTGCACAGAGAAAGCATAAATAATCATTGCTTTTCCTCCATGTCAAAAATCATGGTTTATTTCCCAAAACAGTCCCTTTGTTTAGTATTATATGTAAATAGTGACTAATCTTTGAGGCCAATAGCATGTTGCACAATCAGAAGACATGTGTTGAAGGTTGATAAAAATTCATTGTCACGAGAGAAATGGCCCATAAATCTTGCTTTCAAATAAATATTGAAACTTATGGACAGTTAAGAGCGTGTTTGTTCAGCAGGTGAAAGAGAGTCTCTTTTACAATTTCTGTACGTCGCGTCACTGATGAATTTACGAGCCAAATATGACGGCTTGGCATTCACGTGGATTTTGATGAGACACTATCATTTCCGCAAGCGACAGGAAGTGTATCCAGTGTATGATTAATTCAACTAACAAGTCTGCGCCAGAAGATGAGCAAATGAAAGTAATTCCATTTCTTTTTTCCTTTCCACAGACAAACCGCTATTGCTCATGTGGTTTTCCTCTGAACAAGTGTATAAAGCAGCATTTTGTCGAGAAATGTTTGTGTATGTCATGGACAAGATAAGAAATTTCGCCAGCACTGAAGATTTTTCTGGTTATCAATGACCGAGTCTAATTCTGTGTGTTTATTGAATCATTCACATTATATGAAAAGTCAATTATTTCCAGTCGACTTATTGGATTGACTGATTAGCCACGGATATTTGTCACTTTTGCCAAAGACTTCACGGTGAATTTGGCAAATTAAATACAAATTCTTTTTATCTACAAGTTGGTAACGTGGCGCGATTGTCCGCAGGAGGAAAGATTTCACGATGTAATCAAAACGCATTATTTAACCGGCTCCACAAGAAATTCAATGCAGAATGCGCGTCTCTCTGAATTCAGTGAAAGTTTATAGTCAGCTCCACATAAATTAACTGTGACTGCGATGGTGTGAGATGTATTGAATATTTGTCACACATTTTCTGGACATCACCTTTCAATTTGTTGTGTGGCTGTTCGCAACGAAAGCTATCGTCGAACCTTGAACAGTCAAGGCTTACAATTAAATGCTAATTTGTGGCCTGATAAGAATTATTGACGTGAACTTTCTTCGCATTTGTGAAGAGATTGAATTCTGGAGTGAAGATCAACTTGAATTTAAGCAACCCTAGAACTGTTTTTCTCAAATCTGCTTTTCAACTTTATGTCACGTATAATCATCACTGATCTTGCAAGGTTATTTGGAGGTCTTTTGTATTCGTGAAAAGAATAAAACTACTGCAAATTTCGGCGTTCCTTCGCCACACAGAAGACAAACATTGAAAACTAAAACAATTAGAGACTCCGCAAGTTGTTTGCCGAAGTGGTTTTCCAAAGTCAAACATCTTCATTGTCTGTTACGTTATTTCTTAGTAAATCACACGCCAAGTGAGAGGCACTCTTCATGTCATGCTTATTATGCTTGTTATGTAGTTCACAAGTGTAGTTAATTTAATTATTTTCCATCTCTTCCTCCGAAAATCACAAAAAAAAAAATTGCGGAAAAGAAGGGAATTTTAATAATGATTGCGCGTCTCTTCTTGCATTAATGCAGATACGATGTGGGCCAAGATGGATACTTGGATTTGGCGGAGCTGAAGATTATGATGGAGAAATTGGGCGCTCCGCAGACTCACCTGTCGCTGAAGAAGATGATCAGCGAGGTGGACGAGGACAAAGACGGCAAGATCTCTTTTCGCGAGTTCCTCCTCATCTACAGGTGAGTGCGTCAATTAGCATGTTTAGCGAAGAGAAAGACTGACGGAGTTTTGCGTGTTTGGGAAAATGCAGAAAGGCCAAGGCCGGAGAGCTGACTTCGGAGTCTGGTTTGGAGCAATTGGCGCGCTTGACAGAGATCAACGTGGACGAGGTGGGCGTGAATGGCGCGAAGAACTTCTTCGAGGCGAAAATCGAGGAGCAACTCAGGACAAACAAGTTCCACGATGAGATCCGACAGGAGCAGGAGGAGAAGAAGCGAGCGGAGCAGGAGAAGGTCCTGCGACGGGCGCAATTTCAGCAGAAAGCGGCAATTTTTAACAATTAAACTTTAGCAATGTCATGAGTTGATGTGCATTTTACCATGAGAATTTGCGATGCCATTGAGTTTTTAGAGATAGATTTCTGTGAAATTCTTCCCCATTACTATCATTCAAGGCAAAATATGCTCGCGGTTACCAAAAACAAACACCCAATTTTTTAACAAGTGTTCTGTCCACTCAATTGAACTGATAAGAAAACATGTCATGTCGTTTGCAGATTTTTCCTTTAGGCAACTCTCTAAGTTTGCGTACTCTCTGTGTAACTTTTAACACTATAGAATGTAAATAATAGAGTGTCAACTTGGTGTACTCTCGATGTACAGTTTGATGTGTAAATAAAAGAGAAAATAGCTAATTTTGAACCAAGAAATGTCTTTTGACACCGCAATATTCACGAAGTCTCTTAAGTTAAAATTCCCTCACGCCGTTGGCTTTTAAATTCATAGTGAGATTTTTCTCTTCCGTACGAAGTCAGCGCCCCTGGTGAGCATTCCACGAGTCTCTCACTGAGAGTGAGAGCAGGGCGGATCATCAGGTAAATAATCGTGGAAAACCCCGCAGTTTTCTCACTTTCCACGCGCTCGAGCAGTTTGGACGGTGTAGTAACACCTCACGCACCTGTCCAGCGTGCTCTGCAGCCCTTTCCGGCTGTGAAACTCGCGGAAAGTGTCGGTGAAATCTCGTCTCTGCAACTTTCCCTATTTTCTGCACACACACAGTAAATCACCCAGTTTCCCGGCTGTCGCGCCCCCACAGGATGGTGCGCCTGAGTAAGCAGGAGCGGCAGGACAAGAAGGAGCTGCTGGCCAGCCTCAATCAAGTGGACGGGCTGGGAAAACCCGTGGACAACGGTGAGTGTAAAAATAGGCGCCCGGAAAGGCACACTTCCCGGCCTCCCACTTGAGATTTATTTTGGGCTGATGCTTGCAGAAGCGTTCGAGAACTGCCATGAACACCTCGAGGGCGCCTCCAGCAACGACACCGATCTCCTCTTCCTCACCGGCCTCCTCAACTCCGCCGCCGTGACGCAGCTCATCAAGGTGGGTTGTCCAGAGAGTCCTTAACGTGGCTCGGGATGAAAGTCCGGGACGCGAGAAAAGTCGCTCAAGCGACGATATTTTCATTTTGCTTGTTGACACAAGAGTTTAACGCCTTTTGGGGCCACAGACACACGTATAGAATCTCTAATTGGGAGCGTGCGTGTCTGAAGCGTAGCTTCTTGCATTCATTGGGCTTCCTAGAGATTCCAATTGGAAGCTCATTGAAAGATCCTACAGGAATGCTTTAGGGGAAAACACAAAGGATTCTGACGCTTTCTTATAAGAAAATAAGCTCGAAAGGATTATTTTGTACACAGGAAGAATCAAGCTCAACTTCTAAAAAGATTGAGAGTTGGAAAACGTCTTAAAAGGCAGAAATGTTTCTAGATTCTGTTAAAATTGGTTAACAAATGAATAATTTGAAGGTATTCTAGATGAGTTGACTAGATTTACTGTCTAAATATATCCTGTCAAGCTTGATAAGGTTCAATGCGAGCTAAATTTCTAACTATTCTAGTCAATTGTTGCTTAAAAATTGCGACAAAGTCACTGAAACTGCGATTAGGATTAAATTATTTGATCTTAATATTAATTCTGATTGAATTTGAGAGAAAAACGGAGTTTTACACTCAATTCAGTCATAACTTTAGCATGAGAATAAATTTTTACTGCCTTTTTTATCATATTAACTCTATAATTTAATCTAGATGTGAAGAATTTACAAAAAAAATGAAATTGTTGAGGCTTTGCTTAAACTGCGCGTTAAAAATCCAGCAAGAAACTCCGCACCCAAAAATAGCCATAAGGCTTCGCCTCTTTTCTTACTTAAACTCTTTTCTCGATGTACCCAAAAACCCACTGTTTGGCAAGACAAGCATTGAAGTGTCTTGAAAGCAAATGGAAAATACTGCTGTTCAGCGCTCAAAAGCGCTATAATGGGAGTTGATGGGGGGAAATTAAACCCACACAGAAGCACCGCGATGGTCTCAAGCGTGTGTGAGTCAGTCCAATAAGCCTTGGCTGGAGAAGAAAGAGAGAAAAATGTTTTCAGTATTGTTGTGAGCATTGGCAAGTGCGAACACACCTTGAAGCCTCACCTTTTTTTCCCACCTTTGGAGCGCCAGAAGGAATTGTAGGATTTATTTTCACTCTTCCTGTGGTTTTCCGGTGTTTTTGGGAGCATTTTCCTGTGTATTTTTCCGGGTGGGATTGCGGGAAAAGTGAGTGTGAACGCATTGGGCGTGATCGCGGCTGTTGATGGCCAGGTAGATGATGGTGGAAAGAATCACGTAACCACGTCACAGTTATTTGCTTATTAGTGGTTGTTGAATGAGAGTGAAGGAGAGAAACCGAAGAGTTTTGCTGTGCCGCTGTGTGCGAGTTGACGATCGTGAGGCACGATCACCTGCCCAAAAGTCGTTCGCGATCTTCGGGTGGGAATTTGTGTGATCTCACACGACAATTCCAGGCAATCTCACCGTGGAAATCGCTTAATGGCAACGCCCAGTCGTTTTTGCCACCGCAAAATGTTGATCCTCGCGATCAACAGTCGAGCGGGAGAATTTTCACGGCGGAATGCTTTTGGCTGAAATCAAAATAAACCACCCACTCTTTGTTTAGTCTTTATCGCCACGACGACGAGTGTCCGTGTGTGAGGATTTTGTTTATTGTTGCAACGAGGGTGGAATTATCGATTAGATGCCACAACAGTGCTGGCGATACACACTCTCTCTCTCTGGGTCAATGGAATTATGTGAGGCAGAGTTTTTGGGTGGGAAAACCTGGAGTGGAAAGACAGAGAAGAAAGTGCCATTCAGACTTGGCTTGTGGGATGAGAAATTGTATGTGACGCGCAATGCTTCAATTGACGGTGGAATTGAATCCAGAGTGTGTGTGGCGATGTTGCAATAAAGCCAGCAAATTGAGTGAATCACTAATTAAAGGCAAACATCGAGTGTTTGCTCGGGGTCAGAGGCAAAAATTGAGCCATTGTCGAAAATCAGTCACTGAACGACTGGCGAAAGTGTGAATAACATGATTAGAATATATTGTTTTCTATCTACAATGCTTGTGAATGATTTCTCTTTGATGATATTTTCAAAATGAGATCACAGTGATGATCATCAATCTACAATTGAATCACTCTGTGAAGATCACAGACTGATTTTGCTGTGGAAATAATCTCGGGATCGCCATTGACACATATTTACAATTTATTACTCTTTCTTGCTCGACTTTATGGCTTTTGGGATTGTTTATTTGCTGGCAGAGAGATTTAAAATGTTTGGATTGAAAATCGATTTGAGAAGACAGAGGAAAAGGGGCGGGGTGTCTGATGGGGCGTGGTTTTAATCTGCATTTTACAACTTAATTGCAGATCCAGAAGAGCTTCGACGAGGAGCCTGTGCCAGTGATTGAACCAGAATTGCTGGGCGTGAGTGACATTCTCTCCGAAGTTGGCCAACACTGCGCGCGATCGTGGAAACCGGAGGCGCGTGAGTTGCTGAAGATCATCCGGAGTGCGCACGTGAAGGCGCTGTGCGAGACTCACGATCGTGTGGGCAGGAATTTGGAGGAGTACCGTGAGAGGCAGCACAGCCAGCCGACCAGGGAGGTGCCAGAGGGCGATCTGCTCGGCAACGACATGCCCGTGGAGACGATCAAGATGGTGTGCCTGCGGCGGAATCCCAACGAGCCGCTGGGACTCACCGTGGAGATTGACGAGCACCAGCAGCTGATGGTGGCGCGCATCATTGCCGGCGGCATGATCGATCGCCAGGGACTGCTGAATCCCGGCGATGTGATCCTGGAGGTGAACAGTGTGCCCGTGAGCACGCCAGAGGAGCTGCAGGCGCAGATTTCGGTGGCCAAAGAGTCAGTCACGCTGAAGATTGGCCCGAACCTGGACGAGGAGATGAAATCGGCCAGACTGACCATGTCTGGTGGCCAGGTAAAGAGTGGGAGGAATTTAGAGCCCGGGAAGAAGATGACGGTAAGTTGTGTTCTCTTTTTTCTTTCAATTAACACCTTGTTTGAGCTTCTCTTTGACTGCTTTGTGTTGTTTTGTTGATTTACGTATCGGTTTTGTTCTCTAACGAGAAAATATTATTAATGTTTTAATGTGTTTTTTGGGAAAAATGTTGAATTTTGATGATTTTTTTTTCTTGTCTTGATAGTTTGTTTTTCTGCTTAAGTTCTGTTGAGCTTTAAGTTGCCAAGCTTTATACTTCTTAACTATCCTTTCTTTGTTTTGATTCTTTTGGGACTTTTCTCACACCTTAACCGCTAATTTTCACCTCACAATCACAGTGGAAGTGGACTATTCGGTATGGTATTCTGTCTCTCGAGGCAATTTCTCTGCACAAAATCACACGCTTCGAGCGTCAATGTTGATCAATTGATGTCTAATGAGATGTAAAGGTGTTCAGAACAGCTTCTAAGTGTCACTTTCTTGTCTTTTTCAGTGCTACATGCGATCTCTCTTCGACTATGATCCCACGCAGGACACTCTCTTGCCCTGTCAAGACATTGGGCTGCAGTTCCATCACGGTGACATTCTGCAGATAATCAGTGTGAAGGATCCCAATTGGTGGCAAGCGAAGCATGTCGGCACCGATGGTCCGATTGGACTGATTCCATCGCAGGAGTTGGAGGAGAGGCGCAAGGCTTATGTGCCTCCGGAGGCGGATTATGTGCACAAGATCAGCATTTGTGGCACGAGGATTAGCAAGAAGAAGCGCAAGACGATGTACAAGAGCAAGTCCAACACGGACTTTGACAAGGCGGATCTCATCTTCTACGAGGAGGTGACGAAGATGCCGCCCTTCCAGCGGAGGACTCTGGTGTTGGTGGGTGTGCAGGGTGTGGGCAGGAGGACGCTGAAGAATCGCCTCATCAACAGTGACACCACAAAGTTTGGCACTGTCACACCACGTGAGTGACGCTCTAGAGATTTGGGGGATTTGGAGAGAATCGGTTTTTGTCATTGTGTGCATTTTGTAGACACAACAAGACCACCTCGTGTCCTGGAGGAGAACGGCAAAGGCTATTGGTTCATCGATCGCGAGGAGTTTGAGGATGAGATACATAATAACAACTTCTTGGAGCATGGAGAGCACAATGGGAATCTCTATGGCACACATTTGGACTCTATTAGGGATGTCATCAAGCAGAGTAAGTGTGGAAATGAGGAAAAGAAGAGTTAAATGACACAAATATTATTTAATCTGTTTATTAGTCTGCAAACTGCTATATTTTCTCCTATCTGAATTGCAGACAAAATGTGTGTTCTTGACTGCGCTCCGAGTGCACTGAAGATGCTTCACAACAGCCAGGAATTCATGCCATACGTCGTATTCATCGCGGCTCCTGGAATGGAGCAATTGAAGCAAATCTATGCGGAGCGAAGAGCCACTGGCGGATCTACTAGGAATCTAGCGGTAAGAATGGGTGTTTTTCCCTGCTTTGCCCAGTGTTTTTGATGTTTCTGCATGTTTGTCCAAAGTTCGATAGGCAGAGCTCAATTCGCTACAGCTCGCGACGGGCGAGAACTCTGGAGTCGCTGGCGTCTCTCTATGAGGTAAGGATGAAAATGCCGAGTGTTTTGTGTGAAGGGAATGCTCGATGTTTAATAAGTGACTTCGCGAGATTGTATCTCCTCAAGTGGATTTACTCAATGACTGATGATTTACTCTCTCTCTATCCAGGATGATGACTTGGTTCAGGCTGTAGAGGACAGCGCACTGTTGCAGCGAAAGTACGAGAAATACTTGGATCTCGTGATTGTGAACGAGGACTTTGACATTACGTTCAGAAAGGTCGTGGAAGCGCTCGATGAACTCGTGCATTCACATCAATTTGTCCCCGTCAACTGGATCTACTGAGCTTCCCGAATGTATTCATGTATTAATTGGCAGCTTTGCAGGACACAGTTCAAATTAGTGGCATTTTCTCATCTTATATTCGTCCTCAGAATTAATCGCAAAATAGTAGTTTCTTAAGATGGATGAATCTCTTTTTGGCTCTCACAGAGAGTTTTTATACCGTTAGTGAGTATTTTTTTGTCTCGAATTTGTAGTTCTTTTTTTGCAATAAATTGCTTTTAAGAAAGTGGGTTTTTTTTGCTATTTATATTCATGAGATTTATACACAAAGTTTGGCTGTTTTTCTTTCGTTGCTTTCTTGATTCACGCCGAAAAGTATGCAAAATGGGAATGTTTCCATTGATAGTCGAAACATGAGTGAAACACCGTTGAAATTTCCGTGAATCTTCACATATAAAATCTCATTATGCAAATTTTGCACTACTATAAATCACTCAATTGAATTGGATAAAGTGGTATAATTTGAGGGAAAAGACGGCACTTTTTCTGGTTTCACACAGAAAACTGCTCACGAACTTTTTTTTTTTTTACTGGTGGCAATTAATTGAGCAACACGAAAACAGTCACTGAACATCAATAATGATGATCGCGTTCTTCGTCGTAAAGTTCAATTATTTCCCTATCAAACTCTCACGGTGATTGACAAGTGAACATGTAAGAGGAATATCTCGGGGAATTTATCTCTCGGCGGCGCGCATGAGATGGCTTTTATGAGTATTTTCCATCTGAATAATGCAGTTAATCGTCATTTTTGGACTCAAAATTCCACAATGAAACCCGCGCTCGCGGTTTTTTTTTTGTCATGGTCGCAGAATTAAAAGCATTCGCCGTGTGCTCTCATTATTCTATCTATAATTCGAGCGCTGTGGGGGTTTATCTGGTTGTTTGCAGAAAAAAAAATGACTGGAGATTGTTGAGGTCGCGTGAGAGAATTGATAATTGCCGGAGTGTTGAGTCAAGGAAATGCTGGTAATTTAATTTAGAATAGAGACATCAATTTGCACTATTCCCGGCTTAGAAGCATGATTATCGCACAAAAATTTGTGAGTTGAGCTAAAAACAAAAACAATGCAAGATTCTTCCTGGACAGAGGATTTATTATTGGGCATTTTTTCGTATGGAAAATTCCACGTGAATCACAGAGTGTAATTTAATACTAGAAGAGGCACTAAAAATCAATTTTATCTTCTCTCTATTCAAACTGTGTAAATTGTCGATAACGCACAAATTCCCAAAATAGGCAATAAAGATTACGAGGAAGTTCCTCAGCGATGAAATTGATTATCGCGATAAATTTTTCCTCATCATCAAAGGTCAAGTCTTCCGTTGGAGAGACTCGCGCGCTCCATTCGAGAAAAAAAGACACAATTATGAAGATTTGGAAATTCGTGGAAAGTAGGAAACAGCGAGTAATCGATTGCACCACACACAAAAATATACGACAGTGACGCAAAAGCTGATCAAACAGAGGCTGTATCAATTAAGACGACATCCAAGACATCACAATATTCAGGAAGTATATCGCAGTAATTATCTCACTCCAAGTGTGAAAAGATGTCTCGGCCAGTGTTTAAGACACACTTTTCCAAATTGTTCACGAGAACATCTCGCTTCGTGATCTTCATGAGCTTGATGGCCTTCTTCTTGTTCATGTGCGTCAAAGTCCTGGACTTTCTGCCCAGCGAAATGACATCTGAGGAGTTCACAACAGAGGCAACGACAGCAACTGTGCATCCTCTGAGGCCCACGGAAGTTCAGCAGAGCACAGAAACCAACACAGAAGCCACAATCGTTGCAACTTCGGCGGAACCAAATGACGATGTGGCTGATTTGGAGCAGAGAATTGACCTTTTGCTAAGTATGTTGATGCGCGCAAAGTGATTGAGAAGCTCCTAAGCTTATGTGCTGATGCAGATAAGATCGCTCAATGAGAGAAACGTGTTTAATTGTGCACTTTTAGTCAAGCTTCGTGTCTTTCTTGCCTTAGAAGAGAGATCTGATTGCAAGATTTAAGAAAGGCAAAAAGGCGGAGCTTAGAAATGGGCGGAGCTTCATTAAATTAATTGCTGATTTTCTCACACCTCCTTTCACCTCCAGAGGAATTCAACACAAACACTTGGCTCAAGGGATTCACGACGAAATCATACAAGCTGGAAGGAAAGACTCTCGCTGAGGATCTCTACGTTTCCGGCTTCGCTGAGCCCAACGCCATGCTGTGTCCAGACTCAGGAGATCTCATGCGTGTCCTCATCCTCATCACCTCTGCTCCGTACCACACCACCGAGCGCCAGGCCATCCGGGAGAGCTGGGGCGTGGTGGCTGAGCAGCCAGACGTGGTACTGGCCTTCGTGATCGGCGCTGTGCAGAATGAGACGCTGGAGGTGGCGCTACGACACGAGAATAGCGTCCATGGCGATCTTATTCGGGGGAACTTCGTGGATAGCTACAAGAATCTCACACTGAAGACACTGTCAATGCTGGAGTGGACACTGACGTTCTGCCCAAGCACACCTTATCTGCTGAAGACGGACGACGACATGTTCGTGAACACGAAGCGCGTGATGCAGTTCCTTGAGGATCACAGCCAGGACGCTGGGCTGATCTTTGGGAAGATAGCGAGAAAGTCGCAACCACACAGGAACACGGACTCTAAGTGGTATCTTCCTGAGGAGACATTCAAGCACTACATGTTTCCGGACTTTGCTTTCGGGCCCATTTATCTCCTCACCGGCGACACGGTGATGGATCTGTACAAGACAGCACTGAAGACGCCTTTCCTCTGGCTCGAGGATGTCTTTCTCACGGGCTTCGTGGCTCAGGAGCTCGGCATTCCGCGTGAGGACATCGGAGAAGTGGTGAAGACGCGAGAGAGCAGAAATATGTCATCGTGTCGCGTGGAGGGCGCAATGGCGGTGCACGAAGTGAAGCCCACCGAACAGCTGGACTTCCTGCAGATTGTCAATGATGAGGAATTGGCCAAGCATTGCCGAGAACTCGAGGAGCTACGCAGAATGCAGGAAGCGGAAGAGGCGCAGCAGTTCAATGACAGCATGGGAATGATCAGTGATCTCTTCAAGAACATCATGAAGGAATTAGTGGAAAGTCTTGAGCTTATTTAGGGAATCTGTTTTATTTCTTCACACATCATCCATTGTTTGTTTTTTTTCAACTTACATCCTATTTACAACGTTACAATTTTACAAATTGAGGATATTCCGGATTTAGAGAAAGCCTGACGCCTCCATTTCCGTTCTCTTTCTATTTTTTTTTCCTTCCAATGAACAAAATTCTCTTCGAATATGATCACAGCCTAATTGAAGAAAAATCCTAACGCTTTTTTTGTTGTTATTTAATGCTTGCTTAAGATGTCGTGTTCTGCTTTCACTTTGAGATTTTTTTTTATATCATCCAAAAATAGGAAAAGGACATTGATAGTGTCAGATTTAAGAAAATGATGACAACTAAAGAGAAGATTGTATGAAAAGCAGATCCGCGCAGGAAATTGTCGAGTCAATCACTGGGAAAAGATGGCTTTTTCTCCACATTTCCCACCCAGAAATGCGCGCGCGCGCTTAATTTTACTTTGTCACGCAGAATGTCCTTTTTTTCTACTAAAGGGGAAAATTGCTATTTAGAACAGGGCTTCTTTAAGATTTTTAAGCTGCTACTTAAACACTAAATTTTACACACTATATAAATTTCTCATGCTCACCGAACGCAAAGTCATTGACTGAAATTGACAAAAAAAAAACCTAGTAAATTTGTTCATTTGCAAAATACTATTTATAACTTCAAAGTTATACAATAAATTGTGACAATACTTGAAGTCAAAAATGGAAAATCATACTTCTCACATCACCGGAAATGTGATTCTCTATTTTGGACTCGCTTGATCAACAAAATAATACAGAGAATAGAATACAAAAAAAAAACAAGAATAAAATAAATCCCATAACCAATGATTAAATATCTGCACAAATTTAATCGCCCCTCACCATTTAATCCCACCCAACTCGTAATCTTAAGAATAATTTACACACTGATTTCACTATTTACCTATTATTTTATTATCAATTGAGAGACAAATCAATAATTTCTCCTAAATAAAATACACTGTTTTTCTCCTTCTTCTTCTTCTCCTTTTTGATATTTAATCCTGATCATCTCTCTGCTCTTTTCCTCTAACTTGATTATTTTTTTTTCGCAAATTGCTTCGTCATCTCCTCACATTAATATATTTTATACACGATATATTATAGCATAGAAATATTCGTCGGCTTTATCACCCATCATCATATCCATCTTGTCCGTTTTGGCTCATTAATACTCATTATGTGTGGCAAATCAAGTCTTATTAGCAACTTGAGATAGAATCTCCCTGTCCCAATGTCATATAAATTCCTCCCATTCCTTCAGCCGGGATAAGACAGTGGGCGATGGAACTGACGAGGCAGAATTGTGTCTCAGAAAAATTGAGAAAAATCATTTTCTGTGCAAAAAAAAAACTCCTATACAGACAAGTTATTTATGAATAAAGTTGCATGAGAAGCACACCAGGAAAAACCATCAACGTAAAATACGAATATATGTCTTTTGGCACGGGAATTACAAACTATGTACAATGATTGTTTATCGCCCAAACACACACACGGCTGGGCTCTGTTGATCCTCAGAGGTTTCCCCATAATATATTTGATTTGATTCCTAACCATGCGTCTCTCTAGAGACACGTGGAATTTTTATATGCGCGGGGAAGAGAAAAAAAAGAGTATGTGGATCTCCAAAGAAAATGCGAGGCTGAATCTCTTCATTGTCTTCTGAAAATTACCTTTCTGACTAGTATTTTGTCCCCACCCGGCGCCCGCACGTCCGGCAGCACAGACAGACCCGCCCTGGGCGTTCGCTGGATCTCCAGACGCACATGGACGGGCGCCTCCTGCTATTTGCACTTCAGATTCGTGTCCATGAGCTTCTTCCACAGATCATACTGCTCCTGCCCCTTCACCATGTGCACACTGATGGCCTTCTTGATGTTGCACGCATTGAAGGCAATCCTGCGATTGAGAAACTCCGTCACATGCACACGCTTCACCTTCGCCAGCTGCGCCACGATGCCCGTGGTGAAGACATCCTCCAGCTTGAGATACGTCTGTCCCAGTGACTTCTCATACAAATCATGTATCACGTCGGCCGTCATGAGATACGCCGGACCCGTGGTGAAGTCCGGGAAGTATTTTGGCAGATATTGATTGGGTGAGACGTAGTACTTGCTCTTCTTATTCCTAATTGGCTTCCACTTCTTCGCCAGGCGTCCGTAGATGTGGCGCCTCTCATTGCTGTGCTTGTCCATAAACTGCATCAACTTCGGCACGTTGATGAACATGTCATCGTCAGTCTTGAGGACGAAGGCCGCCTGCGGACAGTACGTGTCCACCCACTCCAGAATCGAGATTGTCTTCAGCGTGAGATTGTTGTAGCTGTCCACGAAGCGCCCCTGAATCAAGTCGCCGAACAGTGCGTTCTCCGACGCCAGCTGCTCCTCCGTGCCCGGATCACTGGTGGCGCCCAGGAAGAAAGCCACCGCCGTGTCACGCCGCATGCCATAGTGGCCCCACGTGTGTCTGATGGCCATTCGTGCGTCGTAGTGCGTGGGCGCCGACGTCACGAGAATCAGCAGACGAATGCTCTCGCCCATCGCCGGACACAGCTCTGGATTCGGCTCCGAATGGCCGCTCTCGTACAACTCACTCGTCCGGATGCCCTGCGCCGGATCCAGGTGAACGTGAACCGAGACAGTCATGTTGACTTTCACTGTGGAAGAAGAGGAAGAAATACAGTCACTAATTGTACAATTGATTCTATCTAGAATGACCGATTTGCTACGTTTGACTCACGTCAAAATTATCAATTATATGAACAGCGAGATAAGCCTAATTCAATTTATTGAGCACTACAAACCAACCGATCGCAATTTTACACAAAACTTGATTAAAGAAGTGCAAAACCCACGAGTTTCATTTAATACTGATATGAAATGGCGACAAATTCATTAAATTTCAACGATAATTGTAGTTCATTTTGCTGGAAATCAAGTCAATCACATCTGTGATTGACTTAGGAATTTGCATTCCTTCACCTTTATCATAGGCAAATATCTAAATCCGGGACTATTGACACTAAAGTTTATCACCCCTCAAGCGAGGCGACGAAAGTTGTATTGGCAGCAAGAGTGACGATGGAATTGCAAGTGACCTCTCTGAACCCACATGCTGAGCATTGACGGACGATGGCTATTTGCTCACGCCCAGTAACTCACCTTCATTAGCACTGGAGGCGGAAGTCTTTGGCGGTGTGTTCTCAACAGCTGACACTCCCGGAGCCGTCAGCCTCAGCAGCGGCGCCGACATTCGTGCTTCTTGTCTCTCGCCGTCCTTAAAACTATTTTGGCTACCAGTTGCCACGACCGGCGGGGAGTAGTAGGATGAAGATGATGGCTGGTGCGCGTCCTGGTCAGCCGGCTGCCGTGCCACTCCGCTGTCCATGGCATCGTCAGCTGCAAGGATGAAGGGAAAAGGTGAACAATTCAGCTCGCTGATGTCACAAACTGAGTAAAAACTCACCCGAGGGCGGTCCGGCGACCTCAATCTTGCTCTCATTCCTCACGGAAGTCACTGGGATCTTGTCCAAACTCTTATTTCCAGCACCGCTGGTGAAATTGTCATAGCCCACGCCGCTCACGAGCGCCGCGGCGTTCTGGGGCAGCGTCTCGCCGGCCACCGACGAGGCCAAATGGTGCTGCTGCTTGGCATACAGCGGCTCAATGGGGCTCGTGTAGTAGGAAATGTAAAGAAACACGGTGAGCACCACAATTCCCAACACCAGGCCGAGTCTCACTGTCCGGTACTGCTGATAGACAACCATCTTCTGATATTCTCTCACTGCAATGAAGAAGAGAAAAAAAAGAACGAGAACATTATGAGTAAACACAAATTGTGTAGGCGAAGGAATCATAATTAGTGGACAACACACACACTCTTGTTGGATCGAAACTGAAGTCAATATTTGCCTTCGGGGCGGACAATGGGGAGAAAGTTTGTAACATTAGATTCACATTATCTCTGTTGCCTTTTAATCTCCACATATAGTGAGGATATTGCCTGTTTTCCTGGGAAAATGTCAATATTTTCATTGAGATATCTCCAAAAATGAACTAATATTAATCGGCGGAGATATTTAAGGAAATTCTTGCTTAGAAATTTTCCAATTTTGCCTATTTTTTTCTCACTCTCTTCAATGTCTCTTGGATTAAGAGTATAATATCAAATAATCTCTGATGACTCAAAAACCATGCGCTTCTTATCAATACAGGTGAAAAACATATTTTAGCTGACTTTAGAAGATTTTATCAACAACGCATTGAAGAACATGACGTACTTCACACTTCGCTTTTAACAACTCTCAATATCGCGCGCTCTCTTGTGATCCAATAAAAACATATTTTTTTTTACCAGAAGAAACACACACACACACAAACACACACAGCACACCTTTCCGATTAAAGACGATCGGAACATGATAGAAGCGAGTTCAGGAAGGTGGCAATCAGAGCTTTGCAGGGGAGTTGTAAAAAATGACTCGGTCAATTGATTAATCCAACATGAAGAGCTCCACAATACGGCCGTCCGATCACACACCCTTCTGGGCGAAAGAAATGCTCCACTGGATTATTTTACGCACTCCACCGAGCCAGCCATCATCATTGAACCATTTGTATGTGTCACGCGATTTATGCATGTGAGGGACGAGGCGAATGATAATCAATATTCGCTTTTTATTCCCAACATGTGTGTAACTCCGTCCTTCCGCCAGCAACAATCCATAATGAATTAACTCGGGCCAACAATCGCAAAGTGTTGTATAACATATTATTTGTACATATATATCGGGAGAAAATGTCATCAGCAAATTCCACGGAATGTGATAAAAGCGCACCTCATTTAATTTATTCTATCGCGAACTGAATTGCCAGCGAATATCTCTCACTTGCCATGCAACCCAACAGACAATTGCGAGAATTATCACAGAGAAAATAAAACACGGTTCTCTGGATGTTATAATATATATAATTTATGCCATTGCTGATGGATATAAAAATTTTTGCAAAGTAAAAGAACATCTCACTAAAACTTCAGCCATTCTTCTCTACACAATTTTTCCCGTGTTTACAGCTTTGCCCATTAAATCATAACTAATATAGAATGGAAATCACTCAATGAAGACCACCACCAAGAGTCCCAGCAAAATCCAACTTTACGACATTGTAAAAAAGAGACTTTAGCATTCCAGCGTTCGTTGACATTCGACTGTTCATTTTCTGCAAAAGACACACAAACACACCGAACAAATTCAACAAGTCGCTCTTCGCGTATTGCACAAAACCATCAGTCTTTCCAATTTGATGGAAAAATTTAACCAACAACGAAGAATCAATAACATAAAAACAGAAATTATGAGGAAAAAAAGCAGCATTTGCTTCCGCATTAGAAACACCGTAAAAAATCAGACATTTTCTATGGGATGTTTTTCTGTTCATTCAAAAGAATTCACCTTTACACACTTCAATTTACTTAAGAAAGGATACAAAAAAAAAGAACTCTACCATAAATGCGTTCTTAAGCTATTTAAATTGGTTTGCGAGGTTTTTCTCTGATCATCACTCATGCAAAAAGCTTATTCATTAAGTCCAAATTATACAAATAAATTGACTCTCATATCAGTTTAACCCTCTTCAGTCCAGGAATAAAAATATCACACTGATGTTGAGTTTTTATAATTGCAAATTAGTCGCTTTAATACAGCTTCAGTTAATTTTAGATCTGAATAAAACAGGGTTTTTTTCTGGATTATGGAAAATTCTCTTCAAATCACTAATAATCACTGGCATTTCGTGATTCAATAAGCAGGAAAATTCTTCGTAATCTCTCTATTTTCTGATAGAAAATAATTAATAAGAAATGTTCATCAGTTTTTGTATGAAAAATGCATTTAGGTCGAAAACATCCCACAATGTCTGACACGAGAGTTGAAAATAAGTGGAATCTTGAGGCACGCGAAAAATGCGTGAAAAATCTGTGTTAAGTCAATCACATTTCCTTTTTTTGCGAAATTACGGAAATTGCAATTTTACTTCATGTCTGTCTGACTCCGAATCTATGCTATGATAACATTGACTTCTGGCAAATATCTCAGCGTTATCAGGATAGGAACAATATAAAAAAGCAGCGCATGCACTCACCTTATCATTGTCCATAAATCCCCGGATACATTGTTTGCCCATCGAACCTCAAGAGATCCAGAAGTGTGATTCAATTCATCACAATGTTGAGTGTCTTGATTTCTGCAAAGAGAAGAAAAAGAAGCAAAATTGGAATCTCTAGTATTTAAAAGTTTTTCCCCTCAGCATTTTTCCATCTCTAAACACATTCAATGTTGATTGCTTTTGTCAAAGAACCTCCACCTTGATGACCATGAAGACGTAAATTAAATACCCGAGACTTTGAATCATTCGCCGCGTTTTTTTTTGCCACATGCTTGGCTCCAGAAATCTCCGAATGGTTTTGTATTTGAGAGTTTAGAGAGGAGGAAATGTCGCGTGTGTATTCTCTGTTGATAAGAAAAGACTCCACATGATTTCAAGTGTGTATTTGGAGAGTGAAATGAAGTGAAAACGGAAATCGTGGAACTTATCATGGACTATCCGAATGTCTAGAGCACTTCATTTGCCTCCACAAATGCCCTTCGCATACGCCATGTGACGCCAATATTGGCGTGATTGCTAAATTAATAAAGTTTTTCCTCCGACAGCACTGAATTGTAAATAATTAAGGAGCCAAGAGAGAATCCCAAAGTCGGTCGGAGTGAAAGTTTTTTTTTTTCTTCTTCTTCCTCGCCTCGCACTCTTCTCCTTTTCCATATTTCATAACATCACACCACCGCACACAACACAACATCGACACTGTCTATCGGGTTATTTTAATAATAATCAATCCATTTCGTTAATAATAAAAATACCACACAATTCCCCCAAAACCGTCAGGCCCGAAAAAGATTTTGTGAAAACTAATTTAATTAACTCTCCAAATCTATTTTTGATTACATAAAAATCAACAACTCTGTATTGATGATCAATCAAAAGAGAAATTGGGCGGGAAAAGCATGTGAGAGGAAGTCTTTCTGTGGCACTCTTGAATAGACATTTGGCAAATGTAATAGAATTTCATGATTATCAATTCCAGCGCTCATTGAAAATTCCATTCTCTGAAGGTAATACAGGAAAAAAGCAAGGGCGTAGGCAGAAATTGGCAAGTTTAATGAACATAATTCGACATTCTTTTGAAATACATGTAAAAAAAACATCTTTTGTAACTCCTGCATTCTCAAGAACACCTTTATTCAACATGCAAAGTAATCTTGTGACCTAATTTTGCAAATTTCTCACATTTCAGGGAGCAATTTTCCTCCTTTCTTGTTCCTCTGTTTGCCTACGCCCTTGGCAAAAAAAACAATATGTGCGCCCATCTAATTGCTGGATCATCTATTGAAACAGACAGTCAAGGCAAGAGATGCCTTAATGACATAATTTTTGTATGTTCTCCCCACTGGAAAAGTGAAGAGGATGAGGTAAAATATTTGCATGATTGAAGAACTTTTGATACGGAGATTCGCACTTGTGACCCCGAATCGTTCACGCAGATTCTTCTCTCTGTCTCTCACTCTCTCAATCTCTCCAGAGAGAGAGAAGCTCAATATCATGTCCATAAAACGCAACGAAAGAGGCCTCAAGACCCAGTGGGAAGACGGCGAAAAAAAGGTTCATCAATTATTTAAAATGCTCTCTCGTGTGTTGCTTCTTGATTCACCTCATTTGCCCGTATATTGGATGCCCATGTCTTGTCCATTTGTGTATTGGTGAAAAAGTCAAGTGACTCAATCCATCTTCTCATTGAATTATTAAACAATTAAATTACTTATTGGCGCGATTGAGCGCACAATATTGCCAAGATATTGAAGGTTAAATTCTGCCAATTCACCTCTTTTCCCTCCTGCGCGCGCCAAGTCAACGAAAAAAACAACAACTCATCTCATCGCTTCGGACGCCACTTTTTCACAACTACCTTTCCTTCAAACTTGTCTGTTTTTGCCCGTTCGAGGAAGCCTCAAATGAAATCTGCTGAGAATATTAATAGTGATTGATTTTTTTTTTTCTGCAAGGAAAGAGACGACAAGAAAAAAAGTGTATTTCACAGAAAAGAAGCTACACATTTTTTTTGTCGCATTTTTATCTTAATACTCCCATTAGGCTTATTGCAAAATATTTTCCCTCGCCACAAACACACACACACACACACAAAACATTCCACTTGGGAGAGCCCAGAAGTGGATTAGTCAGTTCCCTGAGGACTGCTCGCCTTGTGATAAAATATTAAATGTATAACATTTCGTCCAAACTATTTCCAACTCAACAACAGAAGCGCTTTTCACCACAGCGAGAGAGAGAGAGAGATTAATAAGCCAGCAATGCATTTAGAAAATTCCAGCATGAGACTCTTAAGTACGCTTTTGAATTGTAATTTACAGCGCAATCATTAAAATGGTTATAATGGTTTTGATGGAACTTAATACTCTTCTTCCGTCCATAATTAATAATAAACATACTTAATGGGATTGCCAGGCTTTTAAGAACAATCACTCTTCGTCCATTTCTATTAATGAACTACTCAGAATGCCAATAAGAGAGGATTAATTGCTGCATTTAATATTCATTCATGGCCCAAAAATCCACCACAAAACGCACGATGATCAATTTGCATTTGCCCATACGCGGATAAAATGACTTTGATGAGGTCATTTCTATGAGATTCAAATCTATCGAAAAAAATATTCCGTGCGATAAGTGGTGCAACTTTAGAGGCACAAAACACTTATCGCAATCTTAGAAAGTCACATTGAGTCTTGCAGAGCAATTGAACATTTGAAAGTTGAGATTTGAGCAGTCAGCCTCGAACATCATGAATGAAAGGTGCGTTATAATTTGGTAGATCTTATTTTAATTGACTATTGCCATATAAAATGATACAATTTATTCAATATAGCGATTTCACTCTTTGAATATTCATTACATATTTGTTTTCTATTTTTTTCTTTCTTTCCTTTTGGGAAAAACTCAAAGAGACATTCAATTCCCATGTGGCAAATCAGTGTGACATGCGAGGAAAATGTGAAAACTCCCACTGTATTTGCTCTTGTATGATGTTTCCATGGACTGAAACATGACGCACTATCAATAAATATCATCCATAATTCCTCTTCTCCACTCTCACTATTCATTCATCTTCTCCCAATCATTTATACGGCACACAATCCACCCACTTTAGTCATGATTAATTATTTGTATTGCGCCTCTGCCTCTCCAGCTGCTAATCCACCCAATCTCATGCACACTTATCAGCAGAACAGAGAAATCCCATGTAATCAGTCTAATCCTCAGCGAATTCTTCACTCTTTTCCTCACACTTACATGAAAATCCTTATCACACGCGCATTTTGACACTCTAAACGTATGTAATTTGCATTGTAAAGTACAATTAAACACGATCAACCATCTTATCAGACACACTCGTCAATTGGAGTATCGCCGAAGCGCCGATTTGTTTGTCCATCACCTTGGCTCCCAGTCACTGATAACGTCTCAGCACACACATTTCTTTATCGACCACCTTTCGCCACCGCTCATCAAAGACTATCGATTGCGCCGAGTCCCCGGAAAAAGTCATAAAAGCCTCGTAAATCTTTTGTCGTGAGACTCCCGAGCAACAACACTGTGGTTGAATTTCAAAAGAAAGACGCCATCATGTAATCAATTGACTTGAAAATATCACATGTGCCATTATCAGAATGGATGGGAAAAATCTCATGAATTCTCTCCTCCTTCCCACCCAATATATATATTGACTCATGTTTATGGTCCAATACACAATCATTTGTCTAATCCCCGAGTGATTATGAAATAATTTACAACAGGCCGCGGCGCTATAATCAATTAGGATTCCACCATGAGTGCCAAGTAGCATTCTTTCGACCACCAGACGACAGTTTGGCTATCGAAAGAGCCCAAACAACGGCCAGCTTTCGGCTGATAAGACAAACATTAAAGACCCAAAATTCTCAATAGAGTTCAATTGTATTTTTCCATAAGTTCCTCTTTCGCCTCTCCTCAATGTTTCATCGCGCTCAATTGAGCGCTCACAGTGAGGAAATTCAGTCATGCTTGAGAGAGATTTTGAGAAATCTCTCCATTTGAGCCATCGCTGCATCTGCTCATAAAGACGCTTTATGGCCTAAAGTCACTCATCGCCAGTGCCATTCACAGTCTGCGGAAGGTCTAGAGTCTGATGCTGACACTTTACCTTATCTCTCTGCCCCCGGAAACTGTCAATAGCCAAGCAATATCGTGATGAAATTGAAATGTTTACCTCAAAGTTTCCTCTAAGGCTCTTTTTTTCTCGCTTCGAGAATTCACCAATGAGATAATAAATTATTTTTGACAAAACTCCTCATACAAAAGTCGATAAAATCTACAGGAAACCAATAAATATCTTAGCCTCTAATAGCTCTAATTCTCATCAACACATTGATGTATTTCATTAAACACTTGGTCACCATTAAATAATATTATTAGGCAAATTTCCAAGGCAATAGAAAGGAAAAAATTCTTTTCTCGTATTAATGTTCTTCAGAAGTAATTGCAGAAACTTTAACGACACTTTGGAAGCCACAAAAGCATTAAAATGTGTCAGTTTGTGCATTTTGAGATGATAACAAAATTAGATGAATAGTAAAAACATGTTTTTATGAAGGAATTGCATGAAATAATCAAAATCATTTCCCCATTGATCAACCCTCAATGAGACGTTATCAAAGTTTCTCTTTTACTGCTTCAATTGATGACTGCACGAGACATAGAAAAAGTGAAGCTCACGAAAAATGGAGAAATGAACGAGATGAAGTTAAGTGTACAAATCACTTTGTCTATATTTTCTCCCCCTTCGATCCTTGATGTTGTGTGTGTGTGTCCACATGATGATAAATGTAACATAATAAGCATTCGATGATTATTGACTCGTCACATTCGTCACAATTTCTCAAGTCACGGCAAATTAGCATGGTGATAAAATAAAAGGGAAAGAAATTGCAAGACCATTTATACTAATCAGCAGTTCAGCAAGAGAATGATTACATCACCCTGGCATCTTCAGTGGCGCATAAGCAAGTGGCTGGAATGCCGCTGAAAGGTGGCAAAGAGAGATGAAGGAAGAGCGAGGCGCAAATCAATCCGCG